CGGCGTGACTCAGCAGCTCTCAGCCTGCATGTTAATGAAACACCTTTTCAAAGATCACTGCGTTAATCCGCCAGCAGACTTTAGTCTTTAAATGTAGTTTGAGTGGAACTTTTTTTCTCTCACTACTTCCAAAGAATTTAGATATTTAGATGAGTCTGTGTATGTATTGATGTGTGACACTTCAGACCCTACAGCATAGCTTGCTGGAAACATATAACAACATATTTTAACACCTATAACAACAGTGTAGCATCTCGTAACAACTGCATCACAACTGCTACAAACTCTGTAAAAGTTACTCAAATGCTTTTTTCTTCTTTTTTTTTTTACATTGCATCCAAATGCAAGACAAAAGTGCAAATGTAAATTTATATTCACATAAAAAAAGATAAGAAAAATAAGCTAACTTTTTCAATAAGTGTTGCTAAAAGAAATGACACAATATAAGGCATCTGTCTCACAAATTATACATTACTGAGTGGCTGTATAGCAGCAAAATCACAGCAGGAAGTCAATTACACTGGTACAGCTAGCATGTATTAGTGTTGTGGAATTAAATGGAATAAATCATAATTTTTTTTTTTTACAGTCATGACGTCTCAAAATATTTCAAAGTCTTCTAATAATTACATTCCTTTATTTATGTTGGCCAATTAAAACATTCTGAATGTAAAATCCTCATAAAAACACCCTTAACGCCACTAAAGACTTAGAAAAAGTGATGATGACATCCTGTCAGTTGTTTCTATTGCATCCTGCCTATAATCAGCTGGCTCACCCATCATACTACGTCTGATCTCCCTGACTTTAAAGTATGCATTGCATTGACGGGGTTTCTCACTCTCCTTTGTTGTCTAATTTCTCTGTTCAAAATTACATTTGTTTTCTGCCTGCTTTGCTTCATCACCTTAGTCCACCTGCTCCTTCTGCATCCCTTAAGCCTCAGCTTAAGTTGATTATTTGTAAAGTGCAGATGAGCAGTTTCAGATGCAGAATACCCTCATGTGGGATAGCCTAACACTATAGATGTCTACATAATTGAGTTTTACAGAGATGTTTTTGGACAAAAGCTAACATCAATCAATATTTATTCTGTTTAAGTTCAATTTTCAAACTCACATCAAAAACACATCAGCAACTGATCAGGATACTATGGACTAATAATCCTCTACAGTATAAGGCCTTAAATAAACTTGGCTTTCTATTCCCCCTTTTGCCCAGGCAGAGATAGAGTCTCGGATGGAGCTGGAGAGGAGGCTAAAAGAGGCTGAAGAGGCTCTGCAGAATTTGGAGAAAGGCCTGAACTCACTGGAGCGTACCAAAGAGAGAGATGAGAAGATGAAGGGCGACGTCACGCAGCTGAGGAGTGAGTGCATGCACTGATCTTATCCGTTTGGGTGTAGTTATCTGATCAATATATGATGCATTAAGTGCACTGAAAAATTCAAAGAGCTTAAGTCAGTTGTTGGAGAAATCTGACTGTGGCGGTGGATCATGCACACGCAGAACAAGGGATAGTCGTTTTATTGCCATGGAAACTGATTTAATTTGGCACTTCTCACACCTC